GAAAGCTTTGCAGGATAGAGTAATCTTGGTTGCAGGTTCTTGCTTTTCATCACGCTGAATATTTCTTGCCACTTTGTTCTGGCCTGCAATGTTTCTTTCGAGAAATCAGCTTATAGTCTTATGTGAACTCCTTTGTAGGTAACTAACTGCTTTCCCTTGCTGCTTTTAAGATTCTCTCTTTGTCTTGAACCTTTTGCATTTTGATGATGATGTGTCTTGATGTGGGCCTCTTGGGGTTCATCTTGTTTGGGACTCTCTGTGCTTCCTGGACTTGTATGTCTGTTTCCTTCACTGAGTTAGGGAAGTTTTCTGCCATTGTTTCAAATAGGTTTTCAATTTCTTATTCTCTCTCTTCTCCTTCTGGCACCCCCAAGATGCGAATGTTGGCACGCTTGAAGTCGTCCCAGAGGCTCCTTATATTAGCCTCCTTTTTTTGGATTCTTTTTTCTTTTTGCTGTTCTGAGTGGGTGTATTTTGCATCCTTATATTCCAAATCGATGGTTTGCTTCTTGGCTTTACCTACTCTATTATTGAATCTGTAAATTGTTCTTTATTTCAGTTAGTTCCTCCTTCATTTCTGACTGTGCATTCTTCATTTCTGACTTCTCCTTTTTTATGCTCTTGAGGTCCTCACTAAATTCATTGAGGTTCTCACTAAGTTTATTAAGCATCCTTATAAGCAGTGTATTGAACTCTGCATCTGTTAGGTTGCTTTTCTCCATTTTGCTTAGTTCTTTTCTTGGAGTTTTGTTCTGTTCTTTCATTTGGAACCTGTTTCTTTGTCTCCTCATTTTGACTGCCTCCCTGTATTTGTTTCTGTGTATTACTTAATGAGAGGTATGGCACTAATTGAGACCAGATGCTGCTTGTTTGAAAGAATTTAGGAAAACCTGAAGCAGGATCCAAGACAGGCCAATTTTATGGTAAAGCAACCCTCAACAGCTTGGGTGGGCCTGAAAGTTGGTTGGGGTGGGGGCTCAGGGAATCACCAGGGCAGGGCCAACAGTGTGAGCCAGGTTGCTGGAGTCCCAGATATGGCGGCTGTCAGCCCCCCTAGGGGAGGGTTCACCAGAGGATCAAAGGCCTCTGATATGGATCAAAGGCCTCTGTCCAGGAGAAAGCCGCCTCTCCAGTCCTTGCCCTAATACCAAACAACTCAGTTCTTCCCCATATGTCTCTAGTGCCTTTCAGGCTGCCTCCCCCACCGCATTGGAGCCTGGAGGGTGTGAGTCCGAGTAGGTCTGTGCGTGGGCCCTTAAAGAGGAGTTGCCTAGGGCTCCAGCTACCTCAGCCTCCCTCAGCCTCAGTTCCCACTGGTTTTTCCAGCCAGAAATTATGGGGACTTCTCTTCCTGGAACTGAAACCCTAAGCTGTGCGTTTGGTGTGAGATGGGGACCCCTCTGTCCTCAGGGAGGACCTTCCCAGCCGAGGTACCTTTCTAATTTTTTTCCGCCACATATGGGTGTGGGACCATCCCATCATGCCTCCACGCCTCATACCAGTCTTGATGTTGCTGCTTCTTTAATTTCACAGTTGTATGACTTCCATTCAGTTTAATTTCAGGCGGTTTAGAATAATGATTGTTCTGTAGTTTAGTTATAACTTTGATGTGGTTGTAGGAGGATGCATTACTGTGTTTACCTATGCCGTCTTCTTGACCAGAAGTCCTTGAGTCATTCTTTCTTATCCAGTCAGCTACTCTGATTTTGATCGAAGTGTTCAGTCCATTTACATTTAAGGTCATTATTGTATGTACTTACTTATTGTCATTTTTGTTTATTGTGGTTATGTTTTTCTTCCTATGTCTTGTACTAATTACAGCAGTCCTTTTAACATTTCTTGCAGTGCTGGTTTGGTGCTAATATATTTCCTTAAATTTTTTTTTGTCTGGGAAGCTCTTTATTTGACCTTCTATTTTGAATGATAGCCTTGCTGAATAGAGTAGTCTTGGATTCAGATCCTTGTTTCTCATGACCTTGATTACTTCATGTCACTCCCTTCTGGCCTGTAGTGTTTCTGTTGAGAAGTCAGCTGAGAGCCTTATGGGGGTTCCTTTAGGTAACCTGTTGCTTATCTCTTGCTGCCTTTAGGATTCTCTCTTTGTCTTTAGTTTTGGCATTTTAATTATTATGTGTCTTGGTGTGGGCCTGTTTGGGTTCTTCTTACTTGGGGCTCTCTGTGCTTCTTGAACTTGATTTCCTTCTTCCTTCACCAAGTTAGGGAAGTTTCTGTCACTATGTCTTCAAATATCTTCTCTAACCCTTGCTCATTTTCTCTTCTTTTGAAACTTCTATAATGCGAATGTTGTTACATTTCCGTAGTCCCACAGTTTTCTTAAGCTATCTTTCTGTTTTTTCTTTTGGTTTTCTGATTGGTTGGTTTTTTTCCACCCTCTCTTCTAATTCACTGATCCAGTCTTCAGTTTCCTCTACTCTGCTGCTTATTCCTTCTAATGTGTTCTTTATTTCTGCTATGTTGTTCTTCATTTCCACTTGGTTGATTTTCAGTGTTTTTGCATCTTTACTCATGGAGTTGAGCTCCTTACTCATGCTGTTGAGCTTCCTCAAGGTCATGGCTCTGAACTCTATCTCTGATAACTTGCGTAACTGTATTTCATTTATCTCATCTTCAGTAGCATTCTCTTGTTCTTTCGTTTGGGATTTGTTTCTTTGTTTCACCATTTTGGCTGTCTTGGTGGATTTTAGAGCCTGCCAAATTTTCCCTGTGGGTGTTGGTGTTCTGCTGTTTGTGGCTCCCTCTATTGGGTTGGGATGAGTGTGGGAGGACCCGTGTTATACACCACTGTCAAGTCTTACTTTCCTGGGTAGATTTGCAAGTCTAGGAAAGGTTCAGTTATCCTCTAGCTTTTTTGCCTGGACTTGTTAGTCTCAGTTACTTGATGAGCCTTGGTTTGTAGCCCTGAACTGAATAAAAAAACTCCCTTAGGTGTTCAGGGTAAAAGGATTTCCAGAGGGTGGGGCAGATGCTGGTTGTTAATGAGGCTCAATTTGCATTCCCCTGGCCCAGCTGGGTGGGGTAAATCTCGGAGGGAGGCACTGCTGCTTCTCTCTAGGGCTTTCGGAAGGGATTCTCCTAGTAATATGGCCACCGTCCTGTGATGACCTGACTCAGCAAAAAACTCTCAGCGCCCTCCAAATTCCGAGTGTCCCCACAGAGTTCCAGTCCAGTCTGTCCTCTCTCTCCTAGAGCCCAGGGTGAGTGGCTGTAACTAGTTTAGTGCTCTGTCCTGGCCCTCTGAGCTGTGGAGCCGGCTTGGGATTTTAACCCCAAGGGAACTGCTCATAGCTAAAACAGCTGTGTCTGTAGGCTTCTATCCCACCCTCTCTTGCCTCCGTAGATCCTACCCAGCTGGATTCGGTGTGTCTTTTTTCCTGTCCCTGGTTATATGGGTCCTTTCCAGGTGCTTTACTCTTGCTTTTCCCAACGATTTATTTTTATTTTAGTTGTAATTCCAGTTTGGTCTTGTGAGATGGTCTGTGTAGCTTCCATTCACTCCGCTGCCGATTTGGAATCCCCCTCTTGGATATTTCTAAGTCAGAATGCCTCAGAGACCATGCTGCTCCTTCACTCACACCTCTTTATTTCTTCTGCCTTCTCACCTAAATGCCAGGTTTTCATAGTAATTCCACAGAATGAACCACAAGAAAAAGTTCTTGTTATCTCAGTTTTGAGATATTAGGCAATGTTGGGTAAGCTATGTAAAGGTGAAACCACACAGCTGTGTTCGGATTCGTTGTCTCACAAAATCAAAGAATGGGTTCACGGACAAAGGGTAAGTGAAAGAAAGTGTATTTGAAAAATAGACGGGCACCCCACAGTGGGGAGGGGACCCAAGTGTCCAAACTGTTTCTTAATTGTTTGACTCACGATACCAGAAGATGAAACAAAGAGCCTTAAAAGTTCTAGCACAATGGTCCTCATCCTGAGTATACATTAGCATTTCTTGGGGGTACTTTAAAACATACTGATACCTGGGCCCAACATCTGCAGTTGCCAGAGAAAGCTGAGACCCACTGTCTGGGGCCCCTTTGATTTCCTAATTACCTCTAGTCAAGTGCCATTGTCAGTACATGTCTGGTAACTGTTTCTCTTCTACTTATTATCTATTTGTTTCCTATGGTTTCCTAGCTAGCTGAACCCAGAAGCTTGAAAGAGAGACTCCCTGGGCATATTCAGAGAGCTCTAGGGTGGGTGGGAGGAATCTGTGCTCCACAGGAGCTGGTCAGAAAGTGAAAAGTGACACTGACAGAAGATCTGTACACTTGGCCTTGTTTCTTCCACTCACCTGACTTGAGAGTCAACTGAAGAGCTACTGATAAGAACTTATTTGTGTCACCTTCTGGATCAGGTGTACAAGTTGTTGCTTATTTTAATAGAATGACGAATGGGCTTTTTCTCTACCCTTGGTAATCTGTGGGCTCTTATGTGTTCAGACTTACATCCTTAGATATTAGTTCATTTCTATTAGAAGAAACTAGACTTGTTCATAAAAATCCAGGTTTAAAGGAGAAATCCAATTCCTCATCTCCAGAGATTTAACCCAGTCTAGGATTATAGGATTGGATTTTTAGATTTTATTGTATATCTGTTGTGAAGTATCATTGCAATTTATAGAGAAAAGAAACAGTAAGTGTTCTGTATATAATCCTGACCTTGTGAGGATATTTTAAGAAGCTACTATTATACTTTCCCCCAGGACAATGTTATTGAAGATGTAGTCCCAATCTAGGAACACTGTTTATTCATTCATTAGATAAGTGTTCATTGAGCACCTACTTTGCAACAGATACTGTGCTAGGGGCTGGGAATTCAGTGGCAAACAAGCAGACACAGTCCCTTAACAGAGCTTGCAATATATTAGGGGTGATATAGTTGATGTTGTTAAGGAGAAGTATCCTAACCCATGTTTTGAACCAATGTGGTAAGTATTACATTCTTGTATGGTGTGTTCTCATTATAATCCCTTTCTATATTTGCAGTGGGAAATGTCGGGTTCCAGCCTGGTGTGACCGAATTCTTTGGAGAGGAACAAATGTTAATCAGCTTCATTACCGGAGTCACATGGAACTGAAAACAAGTGACCACAAGCCTGTTAGCGCCCTCTTCCATATTGGGGTAAACACGTGTTTATTTATTCGTTTGTGTGTTAAGTAGCTATTCTTAGAGCATTATTTAGAAACAGACAGATCAGTATTTCAGTGAGCCATAAATGTTTTCATAACCATTGCAGCATTGAGAATTTAGTACCTTCGATCCTCCTAAATGCTGTCTATATGGCTCTTACACTCCAGGCCTTTTAGTGACACAGATGTTTCTCATTCTGCATAACGGTGGGGTAGTAACCTTAGCCTCCTAAAGTCCTTATACATCAAAAAGAGAAGCTAGGTGTGTTAAAAGATGAGTAGCTTTTCTTCTGATAAATAGTAGAGTTGAAGCATTAGCAAAGAAGTTCCAGGTGGAGTGGTGGGGACAGCAGGAGCAAAAGCACAGACTGGTCAGAATATAACCAAATTTGTATATACTGTAAGTATATTGTTAACCCTACTGTGAAGTCTTCCCATCCAAGAACACAGGTTTTACATTTTTCTTTAACTCTGTTGTACCCTGGGCTGGATTAATGGCCAGTTATTTAACTTTTTGTCTCTGTTGTGAGTAAAATTTTTTTCACATTGTATATTCTAGCTGCATGTTATTAATATGCAGGTTATATCTTGTGATCATCTTGATTTATTGCAGCTAGTACATTTAGATTATTTCTCGTAGATTTTCCAGACCTGTGGTCATGTAATCTGTCAGAATCTATATAGTGCAGTGCTTGATAGGATGGACATTATAGCTTCACTGCTTAAATTTACTTCCCAGCTCAACCACTTCCTGTGTAAGCATGGAAAATTTATGTTACATTCCTACGCCTCAGTTTTATCCTCTACAAGATGGGGATAAAATAGTACCTACTTATGAGGATTATTAAGAGAATAGTTACTTTCTTCTGTGTATATGTCAATTTGGGGGGCTTCTGAGATAGGCTATCACTAATGTCTTATCCTACTTCTGTCTTAAAGGGAAGTGAATTTGAGACTTTTCTTTTATGTACAAAATTAGTTCTTCATCTTAGAATAGATTCTAAATTTTATTGAGGCAATCATGACTTGACTTTTGTACATTTTGAAATTTTAAAATAATAATGAATAATAATAGTAAATGTTCATCAAATAGTAGCTAGTATGTGCCAGGGACTATGCAAGGCAATTTACACACATCTCATTTAGTCCTTGTAATAATGCTTTGAGTTAAATATTTTTCATTTAACAGATGAGCAAATGGAGAACCAATGCATTTAAGTAACTTCTTTAAGAGCATTCGGCTAGAAGGATTGTTGAAATTCAAATCTTACCTCTGTTTAACTCCCAAGCCTATAGATACTCTTTTCATTATCTCACAACACTTCTGTACTAAAGAACTTACTGGCTATATATGCCTTCAGAAACTACTTTTAGCCCACCTAATTTCTAGTTTGTATTTGTAGGCTACCCTGTTTTATTATTTGAGTTCTCTTAATCCATTTTTTAAAGGATGTCTTTCCTGAAACACTTTTTGATTTAATTAGTTATGTTTGACTTTTTTGTTCGTATTTCTTTTCAGAACCTTGGCCTATTTGTAATATTCCATATATATTAATTCAGAGCTCCCAGCAGGATATTTAAATGTTTTCCATGCTTCCTGTATATTTTAGTGTATCTTTGATAAAGGTCTATCTTTCTAGATTTTTGTTGTGTTTTTTTTTATCCTCACCTGAGGACATTTTTCCATTTCTTGTTCAGATAGAGTGGGAGGGAGAGAGAGAGAGAGAGAAACACCGACGTGAAAGGGACACATCGAGTGGCTGCCACCTGCACGACCAACCAGGGCCCGGGACAAACCACAACTGAGGTACGCGCCCTTAGCGGGACCTGAACCTGGGTCTCGCTGGACCGCAGGCCGACGCTCTAACCACTGAGCAAAACCGACCAGGGCGTTGTAGTTTTTAATACTTTTTAATTTAACTTAATTTAATACTTCTTAAATTAACACAAAGATAAAGTGCTTTATCTTTGAAATTAAAAATATTTAAGCATAATGTACAGATGAGGCTGAAGATCTTCAATTCCTGTTCTATCCCGTTTCCCCGTTTGACCAAACCCCAACTCCTGAGCTAGGCCAACTACCCTTATGAATTTATCTTTCTAGACCAGCACTGTTCAACAGGTCTTTCGGTAATGATGGAAATGTTCTACATCTATCCTGTCCAGTACAGTAGCTACTAGCTACAGGCAGCTATTGATCACTTGAAGTCTGGCTAGTGTGACTTAGAGAACTGAATTTCAATTCTGCTTACTTTGAAGTAATTGAAAGGTCCCCATGTAGCTACTGGCTATTACATTGAACAGCACAGTTCTAGACCTTTGCATATGCTTTGTTCACCCACAGACAATATAGTATTGTTTTGCATGTCGGTGTGTGTATATCATAAATGGTCTCATGCTGTATGTGTTGACCTGCAAATTGCTTTTATTTTTAATGCAATGGTATGTTTTGGAGAGCTCTCCATGTTATTGCATAAAGATCTAGATCATTGTACTTTTTTCTTAATTCCTAATTTTGTCAATAATTTCCTTTTTTGAAATGGATTTCTCAGGTGGTGAAATTCTATGGTGTTTTCCCCTTCTTTATCCTTAATGTGCCATTATAGGCTGTGATCATGATAACCTGATGAGAATCTTTTCTTGTATTGAGTAACCATCCCGTTTTGGACTCTTAGGCATGCTTAGAGGCTTTAAAAACCACATATTTTTGCCACCATTGGCATCAATGACTGTTAACAAAGGGACCAAGCACTCAATGGCCAATTAACTTCAGAAGACTTGCTGTGGGCTGGCTGAGATTAAGCTGAGATAGGGTTCCCACCCTCCCGTTTGGTAAAGGGATCTGTTGCATTGGTTCTCAGTCTTTGGTGGATATAAGAATTGCCTGGAGAGCTTTAAAAAATGCTGATGCATGGACCCCAGCCCCAGAGATTTTGATTAGTAGGCTGAGGTATCTGCATTTTTAAGACCTACCTGAGTTGATCCTGTTGCACACCTGGTGTTTTGGAAAGAGTCTTACACTGGAGGTCCAGGTATCAACCTTTGGTATTAGCTGTGGCACTGAGTAGCTTAGAATATCTTTTTGTATCTTGATGTTATCAACTATAAGAACAAAAATCATTGCTTTGGTAGCCTCACATGTTGTTGTGAAAATAAGATGACACATGTAAAATACTTTTTGAAATAAAAAGCTGCAAAGTTTTGTAAAAGTGTAACATTCCTTTTAACCTGACACTGGAATATAGACCCTAGTGACACTAGTGATTGCTTGTTCCTCAGTTCTCAAGAGTTATAGTTCAGATATATAAAAACCTCCCCAGTCTTCAAGATGTTTACTCACCTTTGATGTTCTTATTTATTTTTTTAATTAATTATTTATTTTTGTTACAGATGTTTCTCTTTTTTCCCCTATTGACACCCTCCTCCCAATCCTGCCCCACCCCAGCATTATTGTCTATGTCCTTGTTTACATATACATGCGTAAAAGTTCTGTGGTTTATCTCCTCCCTCCCCCCACATCCACCTCTTCTGAGGTTTGTCTGCACCCCACTTCCATCTCTGGGGCTATTTGTTCCTCAGCTTGTTTTGTTCATTATACAGTCGGCCCTCGTTTATCGCGGTTAATCAGTTCCAGACCTCTACCACGATAGATGAATTTCCGCGAAGTAGGATTCTTTATTTATATACACTCGTCCCTCACCACTTTGCACTTCAATTTCGTGGCTTCACTCTATCGCAGGTTTTTCAAATATAGTGAAGCAGTAAAAGTCAAAGTGCGAAGTGGTGAGGGACTACTGTATTCCACAAATAAGTGAGATCATGTGATATTTGTCTTCCTCTATTTCGCTTGTTTTGCTTAACATAATACTCTCCAAGTCCCTCCATGTCGTCTCAGAGGATAAGAGATCTTTCTTTCTTACAGCGGCATAGTATTCCATTGTGTATATGTACCACACCTTTTTTATCCACTCATCCATTGATGGACACTTGGGCTGTTTCTAAATCTTAGCTACTGTAAATAGTGCTGCTGTGAACATAGAGGTCCATATATTCTTTCTGATTGGTGTTTCAGGCTTCTTAGGATATGTTCCTAGAAGTAGGATCACTGGATCAAATGGTAGGTGTCAATTTTCCCAACACCATTTATTAAAGAGACTGTCTTTGCTCCACTGTATGCTCTTGCCCCCTTTGGCGATTATTAATTGAGCATAATGTTTTGGGTCCATTTCTGGGATCTCTGTTCTGTTCCACTGGTCTATATGCCTGTTCTTGTGCCAGTACCAGGCTGCTTTGATTACAGTGGCTTTGTAGTATAGCCTGAAATGTGGTAATGTGATCCCTCCAACTTTGTTCTTTTTCAAGATTGCTGTGGCTATTCGAGATCTTTTTTGGTTCCATATGAACTTTTGAAGTATTTGTTCTAGTTCTGTGAAGTATATCGTTGGTATTTTGATGGGGATTGCATTGAATCTCTAGATTGCTTTAGGTAGTATGGACATTTTAATGATGCTAATTCTTCCAATCCATGAACAAGGTATGTGTTTCCACTTTTTATATCTTCCTATATTTCTTTTTGCAATGATCTGTAGTTTTCTGCAAATAGGTCCTTTATTTCTTTGGTTAAGTTTATTCCTAGGTATCTTAATTTTTTGCCACAATTGTAAATGGGATTGTTTTCTTAGTTTCTCTTTCTGTGTGTTCATAATTGGTGTATAAAAATGCCATAGATTTCTTTTCTCTTTTTTTTTTATTGTTACATTGGCTGTTGTCTTTTTTTCTTTTTTTTTTAAATCTTTATTGTTGAATGTAAAATGTATTATAGATGTTCCACATTTTTCCCCCATTGACCCCCTCCTCCCCACTCCCGCCCCCCTCCCGCCTTTTCCCACACTATTGTCTGTGTCCATTGGTTATGCATATAAGTTATTTGGATTATCTCTTCCCACCCCCCCCCCAACCCCTTTCCCTTTGAGGTTTGTCAGTCTAGCAATG